CAGCTCCTCAAAGAGCTTGCGGCACACAACGCCAAACCAGGAAACCGGTGCTGGGAAGCGAGCCGGTGCGAGATCGCGGCGCGGAGTCCTCCCCTTGACGTCACGGTACATCTCGCCCAATCAGGGCGCGGCGACCGCAGCGACGCTTGTGTTCGCTCTCGGGGCTAATAGTGAAAGCACTACAAATTTAAAAGTAGCGCTAAAGACGAGGACAAGTAGAAGACACAGACACGGACAGGCGCTACTCGCAACTGATATTTAGTGAAGAATAAAAGGAAGATAAAGCAGAAGTGCAAGGACATATACGAAATGAAAAAGAAGACTAACCAAAACGAAAGAAAGCAACAATTATTTTTGACTTCAAAATTAAGAGATAAGAAAAAAAAATGTATAACCAACTAGCCCGTCACATGATCCTTGTATAGTGAAAGCACTTTTGGTTCTGTGGAACTTTTTATGTGATAGATGCGATAGTTGATTTTCTTTGGATTATCGAATAGTAAGTTAGACATTATTTTGCGAAATATCCCAGTTCATAAGACTGACATCTTACAAAATCTATAAAATAACTGCACCAGCGAAGAACGTTTGACACAAGTCCCCATATAACGTATACAAATAAAAAAGATAAGAGAGCCGAGGGTTGATCCTTGGGGAACAACGGAACTTAAAAAAAAAATGGGAATAATTCTCAGCAACCAGAAACAAATCTTCGGGCAATTTCGGTTATTGTTCGGGTTACTGAGATGGACGTGTGCTATATTGAATGCTAGCGCGAACTACGATTGGCAGAGTTTAAATAACGCGTTGCCAAAACCCAGAACGCCAGCATTTCGCTCTTGCAACGCCACCTAGATACAGTTCCAGCTTTTATTCTGCTGGCTAACAAACAAACAAACAAATCTTTAAAAAAAACAGTTTCGTCCTAAATGACATTTTCAAATTACTTCAAACATGCGGGTACAACCCAAGCTGTCGACTCCTTCCACGTCATTTTGCCAAGAGCGGTTTCGTACTGCTTGCACCGAAAAGCTTTTGCCTGTCGCTAGCTTCAGACTGCTGCCGATTGTGGTCCACCCAGCTTGATCTTTAGAAGAGCGTGTGGCATGAACTTTCATTATGAGTGGAGTACCGTCTCGTACTGTAAATCGTAGTCGCGGGGACGCAGCTGGCCCACTGCCTTGGGGGCCGGCACTGTACACTTGGCTTCGAACGCCACTCGTCTTGGCTTTAGCCCCCTACAAACTTCTGGTGCCTCGCCAGGTCACCGCAAGTTTACTTAGGGGCAAGCTTGGGTACCCACACCATTTCTAATACATAGCGTGCGTACGGAAAACCCAAGACAGAGTATGGGTACGGCGAATGAGCAGTTGTAACCACGCTACTTCCTCGGGTACTCAAAACGCTTGCGTACACTATTTCGAAACTTCCTATAATAACATACACAATTGTGTTTTAAGTTTTCTGTGCGAGGTTATTCATGAGGTTTGAGCTCTTGTTTAGCTACTAGACGCATTTCTATAGAGACTTTTTGACCATGTTGCTGCACGTTCCAGTCATCGCTTTCATTCATTTATTCACTTCATATATTTTACCCTTAAATGTACCGATTTAGGGCACTACATATGGGGGGGGGGAGAAGAAATAACGTTGCCATAATAATAAAAAGACATAGTCAGGAATGCACATACAAATAATACATAAATGCATAAATATGAGGAAAGCACAAACTCACTGTAGAAGCGTATGCACTTGGGCTAGTTGGTGATCCATGTTTGTGAGGGTAAAAGCGCTAAAAACAACAGACAAGTAAAAGAAACGTACAACACAGAGATCTGTGTTGTACGTTTCTTTTACTTGTCTGTTGTTTTTAGCGCTTTTACCCTCACAAAGCACAAACTCACGCACAATCCAAAAAAGAAGTAGAAAAACATCTATGCGCTCAGTTATTTATCTCCGAGAATTAACAGTATATTAACAAGTAATCAAACAGTTACCACTCCTCTAAATATAAAATTAAACGAAATCGAAACTCCGGGCACATGGTTGAGGCTGTGTTCTCAGGTAGCATATTCCATTGAGAAATTGAAAGCGGAAAGGAGTTATTAAATGCGTTAGTAGTTCCAGAAATGCCTTGTACAGAGATGAAGTTTGTTCATCGACGAGATGATCGAAGAGAGGGATACAAGACTATTGTTACAATGTTAGTATGATGGTGGGAAGTTCCATGAAAAAGGCAGTGACGTGAACATTTTCGGCGAGTCGCTAATGAAATTAGGCCTAATTGTGACTTCCCAGTCGAGACGTTTGCAGTGAGTTTGTAGCTGGGCAGGATGTAACAAGCAGCACGAATCTGAGTGGCTTCAAGTTGGCTGATGAGGTAAGCTTGGTGGGGACATCAGATGGCAGCGGCATACTCAAGTTTTGGTCGGACAGTTTGATAGGCTGTTGGGGCCGAGCTGTGTCCGTGGTGGTGGAGGGGCGACTCGAGCCAGGCACCGGGCTAGAGCTCAACGGGAACAACGATGAGCCGCGAACTCTCTCGAAAAGCTCACTGTTTATTCACATGATGTACGATTGGTTCAAGAACAGAAAAGACTTTGCTTGTCGAAGTTCGCTCATTTTAAACAATTCGTTCTCCCTAGGTCCCTAGATAGGCACCCCCACATCGGCGGATGGCCGGCCAATCACAGAAAGGTGTCCCGTTCAAGCACCGCCCCACATTTCATTATTACGCACACTCAGCCGCCGTAAACACTTCACTGTCGGTCTAGACGGCACCGAGAGTCTCGCCAAAACACCGGCTCGTTGGAGTCCACGCAACGGGTCAAAACCTTAGCCGTTGTTTACTTCGTTCAAATGTTATATCACGGCGCCCGTCTGGTGCGTTCGCTGGGCAGGCGTACTTCCGAAGCGACGATGGCGCAAGGCTCGCTGAGTCAGATGACCTTAACCCGCGAGAGACGCTCGACGAAAACAAACGGCCAGGTGCAGACTATGGTGCCTCAATGTCCTTCTGTTTAGGGTGATGCCACCCTTTGTAGTACCACACGCCGACAGCACGCGCTCACGGGAAAAATACAAAGAAATCGACGAAAACAAAATGTCGCCATAGCACAGTCAGCGCCACAAGCGCGTGCAGGGACACGCTCTTTCACGCGCTTCTGAACAAAAAATAAAAATAAACGCGTGTGACAAAATGGCGAGATGCCACCACCCTAAGCAGAGCGCACATGAAGGCACCCTAGTGCAGACATTCCGGAAAATGGTCTGGGGAGGGGGGGGGGGTGCATTTATAACGGCGTTTAACTCCGTCACGGGCCATACGCAACAAGGCTAACTGGGGAAAATTCGAAGGGGCAGAGTGTAGGCAACGCCTGATGTATACTAAGGTTTTTGACGCGGTGAGTGAAATGGATTCGATGTGAGCTGTCCAGGAAAAGTTAGATGTAAGGGGCATACTGAAGTACTTGCACGACGTGAGAGCTTCAGTGGGTGGGTTGTGTATCCAGAAAATATGTGTACGATGAAATCGAGCGCTGTCGAGTGAATTAGACGAGTTTCGCATTTTGAGTAATTCAAAACCATCAGCCAGTCGGAACACCTATTCGTTTTGGTGGATACATCATTCTATAAGAAAACACTTCCGCTAGGTGATATAATTTGACTATATAATACAAACTCATCAGCGAAAAGAGGTACGTTGGATGCGATTGAAATTGGAAGATTGTTAATAAATATTAAAAGAAAGCGGCCTAAGGCCACAGCCCTGAAGAACCAGATGTAACGTTGCATAGCCCTGATTTAAGCGTCTTTAAATTAAAACTGAAAAGTGTACACGGGAAGAAATGAAATTGCGTAATCATAAAATTACGTTATCGTCTATTTTAAACGCATGATAGTTAACTTTGCTTGTAAACGAGGAACCGATACCCGGTCAAAGGCCTTCGACAGATATAGAAATATCACGTTTGTTCGATTATGAGCTTCAAAATTGGCATGTAGGAGGCTCGCACCATCTATAACTTAAAAAAAAAAAACATGTTTGTAATGCCAAAAGGCGAAAATATAGAAGCCTTGCTATTTTGCCACTCAGCAGGTACTAACTATGCACCAACTTATTGTTGAACAAGCTTGAGGTGACGTGAAAATTGTGGACACTCAAAGTGTTATTTCTGTTTCACCGAAGTAAGAGCGAACCCTAAACTACAAGCCCGAGCTTACTCGTTTGAACTACTCTTGCATTGCACGAGCACGCGTGCTCGTCGGTCCAGATCAAAATGCTGGGCTCACGCTTGTGGCTTCTGCTGCGCACAAACTTAAGAGTGACACAGCTGCGTTTTAAAACGCGCAATTCGCGCGTGAAACATGGGAAAAGAATTACCGCTGTGAAGTGACGTCAAAGTCGAGTATGTACAATTTAACGTGACGTACTTCTCACACCAAATCTCGATAGATTTGCCATGTTGATGAACTTTTGCCATAAATGCATTTCTACGCGCTTAGGCTGCAGTGCTTTCCAGCTCGCTTGAGCTCTTTCGTGTCGTGACCGACTGCCAGAGTAATCGGAACATAAAAGAGCATCAGCTTCTACTCTGATTTTATGCATACCGGCCTTTATTGGTAGTTAAGATGACCCGATGCGCGAAGACGGCTCGTCGGCGACTACCTTAGCCACGGCAGACGTCATCCGGCGGCTTCGAAGAAAGAGATCTCGAGCACGGAGTAAGCTTCCCAAAAAGCTCTCCGGTTGCCCCTACTGAGTTCTGTCGTCGACAAGGCCACTCGCCATGCGTGTGCTTTTAACGAACAAGAACATTGACGCCAACATCTTGGGACCTGCATGAAAACTAATGGGGAAAGTGGAGGACATTGTGCATACATGACGAAAAGCGGCTTACAGGAAATGGATAGGCATTTTGAAAAACTGCCCTCTAGTCACGATGTTTTAAAAAGGCCCTGCACATTGAACCATTAACAGAGAAGCGTCTGTGCCCGTTATGAATTGTAGGTCTCCCGTGACCATGGTGGTCGTGACATGCGCGACCCGGCTCGAGTTGACCATGAACAACCTCAAGTCTGCCGTTTCATTCTCTCGGGCTCCCCTGCGCTTGCTGCTCTACGCTGACGTCGAAAATATCAAGCGTCTCCAGGACCGGGTGAGAGTAGAAAATTGAGACTTTGTTGTTGTGTGGTCCTTCTTTTCCTCCAGTCTCTGGTTTTTTTGTGTGTGTGTTTTTTTTTCTAAAATGTTAAATTATCACCAGCGCGTTTGCGCCCTAACTTTCTGTTAGTAGAAATTACTCGTAATCTCTATTAGGAAACAAATTCAACCGTCGCGGCGCCCCTACCGGCTAAATTGAGTACTAAACCTACGGGGACAACAAGCACACGGATTATGTGTTTTGTACTTCTGCAGCAGCGTTCAGCTGACGTAAACAGCGTTCGGCTGAAACTCGTGTTCAATCAGTGAAGGACCACTGAAACACGAGTCTCACTCGAACACTGAAGCAGCACCTAATATGTGCTCGTGCTTGATCGAGGTGGATGAGGTAAAGAATTCAGTCCAGGGGATTTGTGTTAGGTCAACATGGTAGACAGGCTTGGAGCGATAAACCGGGGTTCTAGTCCGCATAGTACGAAAATGTCCCTACTCGTCACGTGACCCAACCAAATACGTGACGTTACAGGCAAGGTGGTGGCGCCCAGATAGTGCTTGTCCAGTTAGGCCAGAGGATGTCGGATACGTTGTTCGTTGTTGGTCCGAGCGAGCGGGGGTAAATGAAGAAAAGGCCACGCCCGATCCCGATAGCAGCTACGACAAACCGGCCGTTCTTGACGTTTGGGCAGTGTACCTAGGCTGCGCGATGACTGTACCTCACAACTAACACTATCTCGCTGCTGCCGCTATGAAGTGGTTCGCCTTTCTGGGAAATTTATGTTCTATACTTCAGGATTCTTTGTTGTTTTCTGTATATATGTTCCAGTAAATGATCAGCTAGCATATACGTTTGCTTGGGTGCTTCAATAGCAATGACATGCACCACCAGAACTATAGCTTCAACCGCTCCGTCTATTGCACCAGCAGAAAGGTAGAATCCTGATTGTACAACTCCGAGTTCAAAAAATGCTTGCTTGGCTTTTCTGAGATGCCATGCAAACGTAAATGTTTTTTTTACTCTGGGGTGAGAAACATTAAAACGCAGAGCGGTTTTTCTTACGAGTTCCTAGTCATGTGATATAAATTTGTTAGCCAACGAACGGCCATCACTTCCAAGTTAGTTGTTTTGCCTTTGTTTTTAAAGGGAAAGCATTATTTTAATGTGATCGCATTATTTAGCTACTTCACTCGTTTTTCGCAATACGGCTGTATTGCGAAAAACGCAATACAGCATTTGCTGTATTGCGTTGCAATACAGCAAATGCTGTATTGCAACGAATGCGCCGCGTGTATACAGAGGCGCCGCACGTATGCTGATGTCGTCCTCAACGTCGTCCTAGAGGTCCTCCTTGAGGTCGTTGAAGAGGTCCTTCTAGACGTCGTCTTTAACAGCGTCACCTCGGACATTGTCCTCGACATCATCCTAAACATCGTTCTTGAAGTCGCCCTAGAGATGGTCCTTGAAATCGCCCTAGAGGTCGTTGCAGCGGTCGTTCTGAAGGTCGTCCTTGACGTCCTCCTATATGACGTCGTCCTCTGCGTCGTCCTAGACGTCGTCCTTGAGGTTATTTTAGAAGTCGTTGTAGACGTTGTCTCAAGCATCGCCTTTTAGGACGTCGTCCTTCAGATTGTCCTAGAGTCGTCCTAGACATCGTCTCTGACGTGGTCCTCGACGTCGTCCTAGCAAGCAGATAATCTCGCGCCGCGCATACACAGAGCGGCAGCACGCACACATTCACATTTGCGCCCTAGCTACGAAGCAATCACTCATGGCTGCGGGGCAGGCAGATAATTCCGCGCCGTTCATGGACGGAGAGGCAGTAAGCGCACATTCACATTTACGCTCTAGCAACGAAGCAATTATCGCTTTAGGTTAAGCTATAGTGGGTACATGGTAAATGATGGTGGTGAAACTGCTTGAACATCAAACGATTAAACAGAGACAGGATACGACACACACACGAAGCTGAAAGCGTGGCGGGGAAACAGCTTAGAGAGTACACGTTTACACAGCGACAGAAGAGTAAAAGATTACAAAGAGATGAAGCGATCACTCAATCTTGAAGTACACGTTTACACAGCGACAGTAGAATAAAAGAATACAAAGAGATGAAGCGATCACTCAATTTTGAAGTAACGCGCTCCAGTCACGCTGACGCCTATGACTGCGTCGTAAACCATTACTAATAAAATAAAGTGTTTACTCAAACTTTCCGTCGTCGTATTCACAGTGAGCTGCGTCGTGAGTCTCATGACGAATGATATAGCAATCCATGGGCAACCTACAATAGTGGTTTCTGCAGCCAGTTTTTCCTGCCGTTTTTTTATGAGTACGAATTAACAACTTTTGCACCAGCAACGCTGCCGGCGCCGTCTTTATTTGGACCAATTTTTCTTCAACGACAGGAATCAGCGCACTGTCAGTGTCAACTGCGAAGATGGTGGTTTAAGAATGTGATGACTTCAACCTTCCGTTGTAATTTTTACACATATTGTAGTTTGCAACTGATGATAAATTGTGAAGATTACAACTGATGACGTCACAGCGAGGCAACATCGGGTTGCGACGTCGCTAACGGAAACCATAAGAGGGTGCCACCGAAATATCTCGGGAACAATATGGCAGATTCGCCTTTCTTTACGCAAACGGAGAATCTATTGCCTTCGGTCCGGAGGGGAGGGGAGAAGGGGGGGGGGGGTCAAACTATATGTTTAACGTCACATGTGAGGCGTACTTCGTCTCGTTTTACCTTTGTCCACGCGATGTCAGGGGGTCGTTTGACGCGGTGCCTTCATGTGTCTTCACGCCCCGTGACTGCGCGACTCCTGTAAACGGATCCTTCGTTTATGGGACTAAAGCCGCATTGAGAGCTGTAAAGTAAATAATTTCAAGTGCTTAGGTTACTCTAATTAGTTACATTTTCTGTTACTAAATATTTTGCAAAATACGATGAAATGTTAGCAACAGCAGCTGTAAGTTAGTTACTTGTGTATGGAACTTCTAACTTGGTTTAATTACAGATATCTTACAGTACCCACGACTATGTAATCACGTGGAGGCTCTTTCGTTTAAAGAAATGTTCAGTCATGTGATCTCAGCAGAAACATTTTCGGGAACTGAGCAGCGCGTCGGTAATCTCAGCCCTGGAGCCCTTATACATGCAATGTATTACAAGCAACTGCAATGTAACTTTGTCATATTTTAGTAGCTGTAACTTTAAGAAGTTACAATTCTAAGCGTGCACGTAACTGCAACTTACACTTAATTACTTTTCGACTCATCTAATTGTCACTGTAGCGCAATTACTTTTTTTTGCTAACTTTTACACCTCTGACTGCATTCTCGATTGGTAACCGCGAAGCGGACCTGCACAATTTCATTAAAGAATACGCGTGCAGTTTCATTGGACGAATAAAGTAACAATCAACACGATTTTGAACTTTTTTAAGAAAAATGTTTCTCTACTTTGAAGTAACCTCGCAATCTGCGAATCTGCTTATATAAGCAGTTTCGCTTATAAGCTTATTATTTTGTGTAAACAAAATCGACGAAACTGAAGCTAATGTTCTACTTTGCGTCGTAGGAACTTTTTCTAAAAATATTGTGACGTCAAATTTCAACTGTCGGTTCCAGCTGAATTTTGTGATCATGGGCGCTGTTGACGCCAGCAGAGTTTTGTGATCATGGGCGCGGTTGAAAGACTTTCATATGTGTAGTCCTTGACTTCATCTATATCCGATCGGGTTGACTGCAGAGTCTAACAAAGGTGCCGCGCTCGCAAACAAACCCGAGCTCTTATTCAGCGACCTGACGCTCACAAGACGTAAAATGCTTCTAAAACGCGATAAGCTAACTTCATCTCGACGAAAGTACCCCAGATTGCTCACCGGCTCCTCGCTCACCAACACAAAGCAAGAGTGCGAGTAACCAGTCATCGCCGCCGCCACGGCCTAACCCGGCAGATTCTCACACGAGCTGATACGCGCGCGAATGAATCAGGTGACAAAACGTCTGCGATCAACCGGCTCCCAAGAGCATACACACGAAAGAGGATACGACCAAACGACAGAGAGAACGGGGTTCAACCCAGTTCGCGACTCATAGAGGCACGAAACCTCCACAGCGCCGTTGCCCTGAAAGTAACGTTTGTCGCTACAGTCGCGACATTATCTCATTACGATGAAGAATTGTTGTGTACCGCTGTTACCAGATGAGACGAAACACCATCATAAACTCACAGCGAAGCGCCATTAGCTTCACTAACCCAAGGCATAACGCAAATGTGATCCTGCTCATGGTGGCTCTGCGTAGAAGCGACGGAGTTCTAACGGTTCACGGCGGGGCGTTTGCAGGACCTCGTCCCCTCGCGCATGCGCATCGCGTACGAAATGTTAGAACAACACGAGAATACAAAATAGTAGATTGAGTCTGGATCCCAAAAGTGGGCGTGAACAAATGTCAGGTCTATTCAGGGTGGAACTTTTTGTTTGTATTTTGTTTACAGACAGGAAGTTTCTTCCTTCCTAATTCCGAATCAAATTTCAATCCGGTCCAACCTGTTTCCAAAGCTCACGATCGGAACCTGCCCTTCGGCTCCTGTGATGGAATAGGGACCTTTTTCTAAAGTGACGTGCCGATCATTAGAAGGTCGGAACCATCGCACATTGGCGGTACAACAGACATGGTGGAACGTCCAATTAAGTCATTCCATAAGATAGTCCTGCCAAAAGCCGACAAGCCAATCAAACAGCGTCGAAAGTACAACGTCACTGCGCTCATCAACTTTTTTCTGTGATTGTTGTTGCCTTCGAAACAGCCTGTCTAACCGGAACCGAACCGTTATTTTTAGCCAAACCGGAATTGAACCGAATTGAAATCTTCGGCGACAACTTAGAAATGAACAGGAACTGAACCTGCAAAAAATATAAAGGTAACCTTTTCAAAACAGTTCACGGTATTTTTTTAGAGCGCAGCTCTTAGGCGCCCGTTTCCGGCTT